TAAGGAGCATTGTTGTTGCAAAAAAACTTGCTGTACAGAATGCTGTTGCAATCATCACTGCAGGTTCCACTGATAATCTCTAAATTTTAATGCATTTTCAGTACCGATTGTTTTACAAAATTCGGAGGCAAATATCTGCCTTAAACTGTTTTTCTTGGATCATTAAATAAGTTTTTTTACTAGCACATGCTATTTACAATAGTTCTTGCAGCTGCGACCACGATATGAGTAGAAGACGAGCTTTCAGTAGTCCGAGTCATCATTTTGCGCTCAAATTGTGGAAGAACAATCGTTTGCATAAAATTTGATTATTCTTTCTTACATCTCTTGGATTTAAATTTTTTCTATTGTAATATCGTTTATTCAGAAAAAACTGATGGATGATAAATAAATAATGGAATAATTCTTTAAGTCCTATAAGGAGAAGAAGAGCGTAGAAGTCCCTGTTCTACTTGGATCAACCCTTTCAAATGCATTTGATGAAGGCTTTAAATATACTTTCTTTAACAAGCTTTATTTCGGTTACTGTTTCTACCTGCTTTAAATAAACAATTATTTTTTATGAAAACAATTTTACAGAACGAGCTTGAAAAATACTTATTTCATTTCTGACACCAGTACATATTTGCATTCTCTGACTGAGTAAAGCGTTGTTAACACTCATTTGTGAATTTAATTTCATAGACTCCAAACAGCGAAAGGAAACGAACTTTTTAATATATGTTGACTGTGGTGCTTACAAAAGCAGAGGAAGGAAAATATGCCAATGATTGAAGATTTTAGAAAAAACAGAGGTGTAAGGAGCAGATACACTGCTGTACGATCTTTAAAAGTTGAAACTTGTAATATATTTTCAAAATTACAGAAGAAGAGTTATCTAAAAAATCTCTGTGTTTTATTAAAAAAGCTGATAAAGACGACAGTGAACTGTTGGAAAACAGTAAAAGCTTTCAAGTAGTTAGCTAGTGTTTAAAACAAGGCGGACCCAGCACTAAGAATTTTTATCATACGAAATTCAGGATTTCAAAAGTAAACAAAGCCAAAAAAAAAGGCTAAACTGAATATTGTAAAACGCTATTTAAGTACCAAATAACTGCCCAACTGTTGTTGTTATTGATAAATCAGATAACTAAAACTGTCTTTCGTTAGTGAAAGTTTTTTTCAGCTTTAATACCTTTTTTATATTTTAATAAAAATTCTGTAATTGTTTACGAAAACAATAGGCGTTATTGTTTTTCGCAAAAATTGTAATTTTTTGAACCTCATACTTTTTTAAATTGGTGCTAATATATTTTTTATTGTTTACAAAGAAAAGTTAATAAAGAAAGACATGAAAAAATAAAGTTACAAGAAAAAAAATTGAAGTATGAAAACAAACTACACAATTTTTTTTGAAAAAGGGTTGCTAAATTACAGCTTTGATGAATTGTAATGCGAATTTGAACTTCCTGGCTAACTTTTAAACTTGACAGCCTTACGTAAAAGAAAAGCGGTATGTTGTTTAGTAGTAAGGTCATTCAACGCCCGTTAGCGATCTTCTTCCACTCTGATACCTTCAAAAGTTTTCCAAGCTTTTCTTTATTAGTAGAGTTTAGACACTGTACAAAATAACCAACCAATTTTGTGCACAAACAGTGCGCGTCACTCAGGGAATTTTGTTTCAGCGTTTGAGAGGTCAGCGGAAAAGAGAGTTGCACAGTTTTTGATTTGTATTCATGATAAAGACTACTAAGCTTCTTCGGAGGTATTTTTACTGTACCACTCAGAGTCATACAAGCAAATATTAGCTAAACTCATCGTTCGTTTTTTAAAATCGTGTGCTGTAAATCTTCAAACCGGTTAAGTTATAAGAACTTTAGAAACGACTTGAATCCAGCAGTTAATTGATTAAATCAGTAGACTTTTAGACCTCCTCTTGACAATAAAGTACACACTAAATGTATAAATTTACAAAAGGGAGGTGGATTGCAAAAAAACTCGAATGAAGGCTAATTTTTACAAGTCTACAGGATGATAAATTGTTAATATTTTAAAGCAAAGCAAAACTTGTAGCAAGTTCTCAACAACTAAAACATACAGCGATTCACTAAGTACTCTTCGTGGCTTTTAGAAGCAGGTAAAAACGGTTCCGGCACTGAGAAGTGCATGGATTTACTGCAGAAACAACAGGTTTTTTGTCCAGTCTCAGAGTCTTTTCCGGCTCGCAATTTACAAATCAGGAAAACTGCAGTCACCAATTTGTGATCTGTTACATAGTAAAAAATTCTACACAGAATATCTCTTTTTTCCTCAAATTTAAGAATACATTTATCTTTTTATTTATCTGAAATTTTGTTTTTATTTTAGCTGTACAGCCACTATGATGACCTAAATTATTCAATAGTAATGGAAAAATCATGGCAAATTCAAAAAGCTAAAAAATCTTTAAGAGGTTCAGTTGATTTACAAGGCACTGAAGAGAAGTACGTCAAGTCGTAACCTGGTTACTTTTGTACGTTTCAGGCTTGTAACTTCACAAAAATTTCACCTTTCCAGATTTTCTCTTTAGCGTTTTGCGTGTTTGCCTAGACTTTACTAATCAGCAATGTTTAAAAAAATTTTAAGATCTTGAGTGAGAAAACTGTGCAAACAATGGTGGGATAGTCCGACAGTTTTTTAATAGCCTAATGCGAAGCTGTTTTAGTTTGGTGGCCCCATTTTTTCGGGTATGGCACCATCAGCCTATGTTCCAGCAAAGAGCTTTCGAAACTTGGACCACAATGAGAACAGCAGTGGCAATCAGGAATTTCTGAAAGTCTTGAGGGACTGTTGCCGGGTACATTTCAGAAATTCGGAACCACAGATGGTACAGCGGATTTCTTTTGTACAGCTTCTTTAATACAGATGGTTTATGCAAGCGATACTTTTGTCCCTTCACCGTTTTCTTGGTTTATTCGTTTGTGCTTCGCTTAACAAATGCCACTTTTCGTCAAGATTAGGGAATAAAATGAAAAAAATTTGAACAAGTTTTTCTTTTTTTTTTTTGAAATTTTTGTTCTATTTATTTTGAAATGCAGCACAAAAGCAACAAAAAAAAGCTTTCTCTGAATTGATATAACCATTCAGAACAAGTTTCAAAAAAAAGAGGAACAACCAACAAAGTTCTCATACCGTTTTGCTTCTTTTTTTCTTGTTTGTTGCGGTGTTTTGCTACATAAAACCTAAACTAACAAAGTACAACTAAAATAATAATTGCTGCGCATTTTCACATGCTCCCTCCGACCACCCCACGCGTACCGGTTTCTGCAGGAGATTGCTTTAGACTGATGTGGAAGACTATCAATTGAGAAAACCCTCCCTCCCTGACTCGCCTTTTGTGACAAGTTTCAAACACTCTTAAAAAATACCCCGATAATGATCACTCCACCCTGCGGGAAAGAAACCTTAAAACCTCAGCTCAATTAAGACTTCCTCATGCTGGAATCGAACCACCGGCGTTTTGCTTACTACACAGACGCCCTGCCCCAGATCCAATGGGACCAACGGTTTTCCTCAGAGTGTTCTTTGACAAAAATTTTAAACAAGCAGCTCCAGGAAACAAAAGCAGAAGTAATAAACTGACCACAATAGGACTCTGGCAACCTCGACCGCTCAAACGCGCATCGATTTCTGCAGAAGAATAATTCAAACTGACCCCGAAGACTATCATCTGACAAAAATTTCTCTCCCTGACTTCCCTTCTGTGAAAAGCTAAAGATCCTCTTCCAAATGTCATCATAATGATCCCGCAATCCTACCGGAAACAAACACAGAAGACTCTCGATTACCTAGAGCTTCCGTCATGCTGGAACCGAACCAGCGCCGTTCTGTTTACTACACAGACGCTCTGCCAATTAGCCAATGAGGCCGACAATTCTGTTTAGTGTTGCGTTTGAGAAAAATCTTACACAGGCAGTTGTAGGAATCAAAAGCAGAAATAATCGAGTGACCATAACAGAATTCTGGCCCGGTACAGTACTTCCATGAGATTCTTGAGGAGAATGCTTAAAACTGATGTGGAAGACTATCGTCAGAGGAAACCTGGTCGCAGCGACCCACCATTCGTGAAAATGTGAAGATCCTATTCAAAAATGTGGCAGCAACGATTACTGTATCATGCACGAAAGAAAAGTTCAAGACCCTAGATCACGTAGAACTTGCCTCATGCTGAAGTCGAACCAGCGGCTTTCTGTTTACTAGACAGACGCTCTGCCACTGAGCCAATAAGGCTGACAATTATTCTTAGTGTTTCTTTTCAGAAAAATCGTACACAATCACCTACAAGAATTAGCAGTAGAAATAATGCAGTGACCACAACAGAATTCTGGCTTGGTGCACTGCATTCATGAGATTCTGGAGGAGAATGCCTAGAACTGATGTAGAAGGCTATCGTCAGAGGAGACCTCCTCGCAGCGACATACCGTTCGTCAAAAAGTTATGATGCTATTTGAAAATGTGCCAGCAACGATTACTGTATCATGTACGAAAGAAAAGTTCTAGATCTTAGCTAACGTAGAACTTGCCTCATGCTGGAATCGGACCACCGGCCTTCTGTTTACTAGACGGACGCTCTGCCACTGAGCCAATGAGGCTGACAATTTTTTTTAGTGTTTCTTTTCAAAAAATCTTACACAATCAGCTCCAAGAATTAGGATTAGAAACAATCGAGTGACCATAACAGAATTCTGGCTTGGTGCACTGCTTGAATGAGATTCTGGAGGATAGTGGTTAATACTGATGTGGAAGACTATCGTCAGTGGAGACATAAACGCAGCGACATACCGTCCGTGAAAAAGTTATGATGCTATTTGAAAATGTGCCAGCAACGATTACTGTATCATGCACGAAAGAAAAGCTAAAGATCTTAGCTCACGTAGAACTTGCCTCATGCTGGAATCGGACCAGCGGGCTTCTGTTTACTAGGCAGACGCTCTGGCACTGAGCCAATGAGGCTGACAATTTTTTTTAGTGTTTCT